ATGGGTAAGATAGTTTGAGTGTTTGTTCATTCCTTTTTGGAGGGTGTCGAATTTTAACATGAATGACAGTTCAGAGGATTCCCTTTCAAGTGCAGATGTAAAAGGTCTTTGTAGCAGAATGCAGGTGGTTAAGTCATCGAGAGAGTGTCCTTTCTGGTTAAAATGGCAAGAAACTGTTTTTTCTTTGTGATCTTGTCTGAAAGAAGCAGTGAGACCTGCGTGGCAAATTGTGGAACTGCATTGATTGAGTACTTTTGGCCTCCTCATCTGTACTCTGCCCACTAACCTCTCTTCTCTGGAATTACTTGTAAGATTGCGTATCTCTGTACTGCTGCATCATGGGGGTATATGGAGGGGGCTGCAAAAGTAAACAGAAATAACACAAAGCCTTCCTTTGAAAGGTGATCAGCCAAGGTAGAAAAAAATGCTGCTTTGGTGGTGGAGTGAGGTGTTTATTTTTTTATGTTGCATACACAAAAGCCCACCCCACCCCTGAAAAAAAGGAGGAGAAGGGCATCCTAACAACCATCCTAAAGTCCGGTAGATCCTTTCACTAACAAATATTCTGGGTATCCTGTGGGAACAACTTCCTCTTGGGGATTCATCAGCACATGACTCTCCTTTTTCAGCTGTGTGTTGCTGCATCTGGCAAAACTCTACAATCTGAGGCTGGATCTATCTTAGGGTGTTATCCCCCAAAGTCACGTAGGGCCAGACTGCCAATTCGCCATGACTGTCACGGAGGTAAGGGGTCTCTGAAAGGTTGCGGGTACCAAAGAACAGTAATTTTCTACCTGTGGGTCGTGGATCCTCGGGGGTGAGCAAACTATGTCTAAGATTTCCAAAGGGGTCCCTGCCTCCATGATACATTTTTTATGGGTCCGCAAATGAAAAAAGGGCTGAAAAGAACCACTGATCTAGGGCAGAAGTACCAGACTTTGATGTGCCCATCTGTCCTGCTGCAAGGCCTAAATAGAAACCAACCTTCCTTGGGAAGGATAAAACTGCCTGGCACCTCACTCCCCAGGGCAGGGGTGGGCAAATGGCATCCTGCAGGCCACGTCTGGCCCATCAGGCATTTTAATCCGGTCTTTGCGCTCTCGCTGGGGAGCAGGGTCTATGGCTTGACCTGCTCCATGTATGCCTGGAAGCAGCAGCATGTCCCCGGTCGGCTCTTATGTGTAGGGGCAGTCAGAGGTCTCTGTGCACTGCCCCGGCCCTAAGCACCGCCCCCTCAGCTCTCATTGGCTGGGAACCGCAGCCAATGGGAACTGCAGGGGTGGGGCCTGCGGATCAGGGGACAGCACAGAGTCCCCTGACAAAGCATCTGCCGGCTGGAAGGGGGACATGTTGCTGCTTCCGGGGGTTGCTGAAGAGGTAAGCACAATCGAGACCCTGCAACCTGAGCCCCAGCTCCCCTGCCCCAGCTCTGGTGCCACGCCCATCCTGCAAACCTCTTGGTCCCAGGGCAGAGAACCCTTCTGCATCCCAACCCCCTTTCCCAGCCCAGAGCCCCTCCTGAACTCCAAACTCCTTGGTTCTAGCCCGGAGCCCCCTCCCACCTCCTGAGCTCCTCATTGCTGGCTCCACCCCAGAGCCCATCCCCTCCAGCCAGACCCCTCACCACCTCCCTCACGCCAACCCCAATTTCCAGACCCTGATGTGGCCCATCGACCAACAAGTTTGCCCAGCTCTGCCCCAGGCTGTGAGATAGCACAACATTCCTCCATACCCGCTCTGACTATTTGCTACCAGCTTTACAACACAACTGGTGAACCTACCCCACCCCTCTCTGCACAAAGCCGGCCAATTAGCAAGGTACTGTGGCTCTGCTAACGCCTCCCACTAAAGCCATGAGCAGGTTTCTCCTTGCTCTTTTCCATGCATGGCAGTGGATACATTACAACGTCTGCAGCAGAAGCACTCCACTAGCCAACACAGAGCAGCCTTGTGAACCGCTTGGGATTTTTAAACAGGCCTGCTTTTACTGCAGCAGCAGAGTGTTGCAGCTACTGACCGTGTCTGCATTTTTGCCCCGGAAGTACTCGTTAAATGGGCACAATCAGCTGGGTGTGGGCAGTTAATCACAAGCACAAAAGTCTGCCCACAAAAAATGTAAGCTGGGGCAGAGAATCTGTCTGATCCTAGAGGTCTGACACGAGCAAAAGTCTCACTATCTTCACAATGATCCCTACAGTGACTGGTACGTTGACAGGGCTCCAAGCTCATCTGGCGTTAACATTATTACTAGTATGGCACAGCTCAATACCGTGGGCTTGGTTCTACACTGCACAGATCCAGACAGGCTGGAGTATCTCTCGGTTCCAGTACCTGAACACTCTTTTCCTGAAATAACATGGTGGTGATTCAGGGCCAGATGTAGGAGACTGAGGGTATGTCTACACTACCCTCCTAATTCGAACTAGAGGGGTAATTAGGCTTCTAATCCGAACTAGCTGTACTCCTCATGGAATGTGGAAGCCTAATCCGAACTAGCTACTCCGTGCCGCCTGTAGCCGCGCAGCACGGGGTTCGAACTAGCCGGGATTTTAAAATGGCGGCGCCCGATTTATGCAAATGAAGCCCGGGAAATTCAAATCCCGGGCTTCATTTGCAAGTGCGGTATGCCTACATTACCCCGCTAGTTCAAACTAGCGGGGTAGTGTAGACATACCCTGAAGGATTCATCTGCAGTGAAAGAAGCTGTGCCCATCACTAGCACTGGGAACCTCCAATTCTCACTAGAGTTAATCGGCATAGCTTCATTGGTTCTGTCCCTATATGGTAAAAAACAGGCCTGGCAGTGGGGGGGGAAGGACACAGGGGGCAGTTGCCCAGTGCTCAGTGATTCAAAGGGGGCTGAGGCTCCCAGCTGGTGCTGCTGCTACTGTGACAATGGCGGTGGCCAGTGTCCCAGGTCCTTTAAATCTGTCAGCCCCGCCCCTTCTGCCTAAGGCACCGCCCCTTCCAGGAGGATGGAGCCGGCCCCCCTCATCTTGCCTAGGGGCCTGCAGAGGCTGTAATAAACTCCTGGTAATAAATTATAATAAAAGGGGGGGTTTTCTAGATCCTCCCCCAAGCCATGCCACCAGCCTGCCCAGGGCCTATTCTCTCTCCCCACCCCCATTCCCTGCCACTGCAGTCAAGGCCTGGGAGGGGAGGGAAGGGAAGGGTTTGGGGCGTGGGCGGGGAGAGGGGGTACTTACTGGTTTCCTGGCAGGCAAGATGGCAGAGCCGCAGCCCTGCTGGCTACTCCCTTTGGTTGTATGACTGCCCCCAGTAGACAATCTCATATCGCATCCCTCCGAACAGCAGCCCTTCCCTTTGCATGTTATGGAAAACAGCCCCTTTCCCAGGGCTTCTGGTTGTCCTGGCACAACCCAACCCTGATCTTGCATTAAGTTAGGAGAAGAGAAAGCTGCCTACCAAATTTAGTGGCTCAAGCTCTTAGCATTTAGGAGGAGTTCTTGAACTAACGAACTCACAGATGGACAGACGCACTCTAAAATATAGAGAGAAATTAGTCTCTAAGGGTATGTCTACACAGCAGCGCTATTTCGGAATAACGGACATTATTCCAAAATAAACAGCATGTCTACACTGCAAACCATTATTTTGAAATAATGTTGAGCTGGAGGACTTCTTACTCTGACTCCTGTAACCCTCATTTTATGAGGAATAAGGGAAGTCGAAGGAAGAGTGTTCTTCCTTCGACTTCCTGCTGTGTAGACAGCACCAAAAGCCAAATTAAACTATTTCAACTTAAGCTACACAATTGATGTAGCTCAAGTTGTGTAGCTTAATTTGGCTTTTTGCCCTGCTACATAGATGTGCCCTAAGGTGCCAGAGGACTGCTTGTTGTTTTTAAAGTTACAGATTCCCACGGCTAACCCCACTGAGACTATCCGACAACAGAACTCCTAGATGTTTAGGATTCACACCAAGTTCTGTTATCTGCCCTCATTTAAAACCCCTCAAACTTCTGCACATTCGCCATGCGCTCTCCATGCTTGGTCTTCACCCAGAAGTGCTATTTTTCTAGAGAGTCTGAGGACAAAGAGTCAAATGAAAACGTACTCCCATTTTAAAACGTATAAATATTTTATTTGCTCCCCAAATGGCTGAGGAAAAGCACTCAGTCCTCAACATTCAGTTACTCCGCACTGAGAAGTAATGTCCGAGGAGAATTAGTACTGCTCCTTTCCCGTCTTTGTGTAGAGCAGCTGCAGTGCTTTGGTGAAGATGCTGCTTTGCGGATGGGAGAGTGCATGTTATTCTTTATTTATTTCTATTGCAGTAGCACCTAGGAGCCGGTCACAGGGCCCCTATTGCACACACATAGCACTAAAAGTTCCTGCCTCAAGGAGCTAGCAGGCAAAGTCCTGGTGTTGGTATCATTCAGTCTCCAGTGGTGACCTGTGTAAAAGGTAAGTTTTTCATCCAGTTTCAGCTGTGGCCTGTGGAACCAACTCCAGCCTCCTAATCCTCCTGTGGCTTCTATGCCATTCCCAGGAGAAAGCTCCACACCCAAGGGAGCACTGTGTGTGTGTGAGGCAAGTAGGGGGGGTTGTTAGGAATAATTGCCTTGTGCCTCCTGCATGCTTCCTGGGGCCTCTCACTGCACCCTTGCAGACTGAAGGTGGGGAGGGAGAGGGGAGAACAGACCAGCCCCCAAACTTGCAAGTGGGAGGGTGGGACTTGCAGTGGACAGGCCGTTGCTGTGGCCAATCAGGGCCGCCCTAGGGGGCAGCCAGTCAGGAAGCAGGGATGGGCGAAGCGGACCAATTGCTCTCCCCGGGCTCAGCCGCACGGGAGTAGCGAGCGGTGCCCAGGCTGGAACCCGGCAGGGCTAACTGAGGCAGCTGCAGCAGCGGCAGCG